ATTTTGGACTCTCCAGCTTTAGTAAATAAACCCCATTCTGTCTGTGCAGTGACTCCTATCTCCAGGCTTGTTGCGCTTCACCTTTTCACTGTCTGCGCAGTGACTCCTGTCTCCAGGCTTGTTGCGCTTCACCTTTTCACTGTCTGTGCAGTGACTCCTATCTCCAGGCTTGTTGTGCTTCACCTTTTCACTGTTCCGTTCTCAAAACACTGACTATGTGTGGCTCTAAACGGACAGCTAAACCCTTGTCAGAATCTCCAGCAAACAGAAGCCAACTGCTTGTGTTGTCTACCAAAGAATCCAACTTTATTTTATAGGTGAAACTGAAACACAATACAATGACAGCATATCAGTATACATAGAATAACTAGTGTAACATAAATGACAGATGACACAGAAGAAAGGCACTTACAGGTGATGATGTCTCAAGCCCTTGGGGAGAGAAGCAAGCACACTGCATCCACAGTTAATAGAAGTCTAAAATGGCTGACGAGCTTCCTAAACCAAGAGTCACTTCCTGTCTGAGAGCTTACATATCCAGAGGAGAACTGCCATACATGTTTGCCACTAGATGGCAGTGGTACACTACATGTCCCATATAAGTAACTATAATTCAATTAGCCTGTGAAGGCAACACAGCCATGATGAATTTCAAGAAGGAGCCACTTTATCCTTTTGCTTTGTAAAGCACAAAAGCATTGTACAGAGCCAATTTAAATAAATATATACAGACACTTCTTTGTACCAGCATCTGGGTTTATGGGAAATTAAGTACGGCTATATCATCTGGTCATAAAAGTCAATCCTTTCCATGTTAAGGTTAAAGTCATGGACATAGAGGGGCTTCTCAACAACACCAGTTGCCATGCAAATTTGGACTGTTGTGTCTGCGTGAATGGAAGACAGGATGAAAATATCCCATTTGTCCTTCCACTTCATTGTGAGAAATTAATTAATTATTTCTCAAGCAGGCTTTCTCCCCCTTTCTAAGTTGGGTATTTACAAGACTTTGAGGAAGGACCCAGAGATTAGGTTACATGGTGCCCCATGAGCCAATTCCAAGATTGTACAAATGTCCAAATAGTGGCATGCTTGTAAAAATTGTCCACATATAAGTGGTATGGGTGACACCAAGTCCCAAACTATCTTGCCACTGCTCCCCATGTAGTCTGGGCATCCATGTGACTATCTTTTCCCTCGAAAATTACATGTATAGTCTGTTGCCCACTTACAGAGCTTATACATTTTGACCCCATATCTGGCACATTTGCTGGGGAGAAACTGTATGAATACAAGCATCCAGAAAGATGAATGCAGGACTCATCAAAACAGATGTTTTGATGGGGCGTATATACATCTGGAAATTTCTGGTTAAGGTGATTTACAGCAGGCCGAATTTTGTGGACCCTATCATATTCAGGGTCAGCCTGAGGATGCCAGAGTGTATTGTCATTCAAATGCATGAATCACATTATATTCTCATATCTATGCCTGGCTGTGGCAGCAGAGAACATGGGCATATGATAAATCAGGTATGTGAAAGCAATTCATTCTTTTCAGTAGTGCCCGTGTTCAGGGTTAGGCCCCAAAAATGTAAACTTGGAAACTGTAATAGATTTCTATGCAAATGATCTGGCAAGCTTTGAATTTGGGTTAGCGGTGATAAATTGTTGTGCATATTTTAACGGGGTTCGCTTGGCAGCGGGTGTGTGTGACCCCCTGGATGGGTGCACAACACAAAAACACAGGCACAGCACAACAACAGTGGAGATGAAAAAACAAAAAGGTGCAGTTTATTTACAATATTTACAGGAAAATGTCAAACTAAAAAGAAACATCAAATCAAATCCTGGCCAACTTGGCTACTTACTTTACAATTAGCTTCCCTAGCTATCCACTAGGTACAGCCTGATACTATACCTAGTCCCTGTTAGTTGGAGGCTTAGCCACACAGGCTTTTGTCTCACTGCACACAGATAATATGTTGCTCCGCAGTCAGTTCAGGCACAGATCTGGTTCCAGGGTGGAGCAACTCCCTAAGCAGCTTGGGAAGTTTTATGAAGGCCTTAATGAGCCCACTACCTTCAGCTGGGCTCATTACCTCAGTGCTGAAGAGCTCAGCACATCCCCCTAGTGGAACAAATCCCCATAGAGTCTAAACCTTGGACAAATGTATTGTCCATCCAGGACGCAACCAGGTGATTTCACCTGCCTACTGTCACAATATAAATTGTTTTGGTGCAGAAACTATCCATACAGCTCCACAAAGATCAAGGGTAGTAGTTAAATTTGCTGTTTCTATCTGAATTTTGGGTTGGACAGTGAATGGGGGAAGTATGGGGTGCTGCAGAATTTGTGGGCTGCCAACCAGGATTTGCAAGCACATCTGGAAGGAGACTATGGGCTCTAACAGCCTATGTTTGAATTCTTGGTGGCTGTGGGACACTACTTATGCTAGCCAGCTTGTACTGCATTTATGGGACTCGCCACATCACCAAGTGATACTGCAGTGCTGGTACGTAAAAGACCAGGATGTACTAGGCCACTGGTGCTCACCAGTTCACCAAAGGTAGTGCAGCACTACTACTGGAACTCTGCTGCATATAAGAATAATCATACAATTATAACACCTCAGCAACTTTGGCACGAGATCGGGGACACCTGACCTTAACAGGAACCTCTTCTCCATCATCTGAGCTATCTGTCAGGGTGCCACTGCTCTCTTTGTATTCTGAGCCTGACTCTGTCAATAAGGCTTCCCCTTTGCTCTCATCATTTGACATACTCAGAATCCTGTAGGCCTCTTCACTAGTGTACCTTTCACTGGACATTTTGGCCACCAAATGTATAGGTACCCAGTGAGACTCACGGTAAAAAGAGCACCTGACTGTCAGGGACTGCTTGAACTGCTACAAAACAATTACCTGTTAGTGCTAGCATAGATCAGGCCTGATCTTGATAACCCTGCAGTTTTGTGTGTAATGTAGTTACAGTGATCTACTGATACTGCATTTGCTGGGTGTGTGGGGGGGGGGGGGGGGGGGGTAGGGGCTAAACGCAGTTGTTAGAGCTTATTCTGCTAATGCTGCATTTTTGGGGACACTATTCTTTTGTGGATATTAGTATAGTTCTGATCTGATCAAAGATATTGATCCATTCAGATACTGTACTAGCACTGGATGTTTATATTGTGTATGTAAACGTGTTCCTGGCAATCAAAGGTATAATGGGATGGAAATGTAGAGGCAGGCAATCTGAAGCTATCTGGGAAGGACGCTAACTGATGCTAACTGTATCTAAAGTTGCCCGTGACCCTAATACAGTTATCAGTAAAAAAAAAAAAAATCTGCACACTGTACTAATGACCCTAATGACAGGGCAGTGAAAGAGTTAACTGGGGGCAATCAGGGGGTTAAAATGTGCCTATGTGTTTTAGGTGTCAGTGTGCTGCTGGTACTAAAATAGATCTTTCTTCTCTCTCTGGAATTGAATGTGCTCCAGAGAGAAAGAAGATTGCATCATTTTCTGTGCCTGTGTTCTGTAAACACAGGCACAGGATGATCTCTGATTTGTTACAGCCGATCAGCAGGTCCAGCCTAAACATAATTGGCCTGGATCTGGTGAGTGATTGGTGCTGTACCAAATCACAGCACTGCCAAGCCGGCGGGAGCGTGCCCACGGCCTGGGAATGTGGTGGGAGTGTGGGTAATGTTTATATATATATGTAATTTTGTGCAGGGAGTCTGCCCTGTAGCAGTAAAACTGCTATAAGACAGACATCAAGTTGTTAAAAAATATACATTTATTATTTTTTACATAGGAGCCTAGAAAGCATTGCGACTGTAGTCAATGGATTGTTGGTTGTATGCTCTGGCTCCTTAAGACTCCTTCCTTCTGATCTGTATCAAGATACAGACATTTGATTACAAAGCTCCATGAAGTCCCAATAGACTACAAGTGTGATGACATGACCAAACCTGTGCTCCATTGAGAAATACGAGTAATTCTGACACAGTGGCAGGTAGATTCCTGTGAATGAATAATGTGGCTCTGTGGGCCTGGCTATGTTCAGCCACACAGATTTCAAATTTTATAAGAGGTGTCAGGGAGGAGGACCCCCCGTATTTGAAAGAAGAGGCGGCAGTTTGAAGGAGGAGGGCTGCAGACTCCCACCATGCTTCATTCTATATCCTAAATAAGGTTGTAATATAAAACATTTTTAGAAAGGTGGACTTAGCTTCTAGTTATCTTTTTGGATGGCATTAGTGTCATCTAAAAAGAGAACTAGAAGCTAAGCCCACCTTTCTAAAAATGTTTTATGAAAGCAATACCTTAATATCTCCCCTGTACCGCTACCTACAAGGTATACAGTCTGTAAAATCAGTGATTTTTTACAATTGTTTGTAAATATCAGGGACTGATAATTTGTCATGCTGTGTTAACTTTCGTAAGTGTAAACCAGTCAAATTACTTGTTATGGGTATTGTCAGTGTTTGCATATTGTGTTTATACTGTTTAAATATTGATTGTCTTAGTTTTTAACGTCATTTTTCAGGTTGCCAGTACAAATGTGCTCTGTCAGTAAAATTTCCCATGTTTTGCCGGTAAAATAATGATGCAGGAGGTTGGCAACACTGCTACTTACCCTAGTGCAGATATTAAAAAGAAATTTGGTAAGCTTATGTAAATAGTAATGTCAGTATAACATTTGTTTTTTACAGTAGTTTCTATTGTTATATGTAGAGATGAGCGAAGAAATGAAAAATTCGATTCGACTGATTCGGCGAATTCGTGGACAATATTCGATTCGAGTCGAATAAATTCGCTGTGAATTTAACTTAAAAAAGGGTGTTTCTAGGCTTCAGAGAGACTTAATATTAGTGCAGAACACTGTACCTTTTAATTTAAATGCCCTTGGAGTCTGCTGGGGAAGAGAAATAATACTGTCAGTCAGTATGACATGCAGATGAGTGCCGTCGATCTTAGAATCACCGCACACTTCACTCATTTGGCCAGTCACGGGGCCAAAACCAGTGTTTGGAGCCACAGTGTGGGCGGTGGAGGCAGCAGCAATGGGAGGCCATACAGCAACCTATGACAAAAATGGAAACCAGCAGGAGTGTGAGGAGACCTGAAAGTGGCACATGGCAGAGTGGGAGCAATGGGAGGCGGTACAGGGACCCAGGTCACACTGTGGGCCCAGCAGCAGCGTGACCAGGCGGTACGGGGGGCCCATGGCAGATTTGGGGCCTGGCAGCACCTATGGGAGGCCTGTAATCTGCCAGCACCCTATGACAAAATGGAACCCTGGGCTGGGGCAGGCAGAACGCCCGTATCTTTATCACGGTTTTCCCAGGCCACCGAATGGCGACGCTGCATATGCTGACGCAACGCTGTGTAGTCCCAACATGGGCCCCCCTGGCCACGCTTGACTTTCTGGCCACATAGTCGACATACGGCTACGTTTACTTACTCGGGCGGCTTGACAAAAATTTGCCACACCCAGAGTAGGAAACTTTGCCTCCGCTACTCCTCACTGGCTGACTGCTACTTCCTCCGTGCACACCGGCACCACTACTGGCACCCGTGGTGGTAGGCTGCAGTGGAGCTGGTGCTTACTACTCCGTGGCCGTTTGCCTCCACTGACACTGCTGCGACCCTGCTGCCTCCTGTCCTGCAGCAGCAATGGGAGGCCGTACAGGGACCCATGCGAGACTATGGACTTGGCAGCAGCATGAGGAGGGCGGTATATAGGGGCCCATGTGGCAGATTTAGGGGCCTGGCAGCAGCTATGGGAGGCCCGTAATCTGCCAGCACCCTATGTCAAAAAAATTCAACACACCAGCAGTGTGTTGAGGAGACCTGAAAGTGGCACATGGCAGAGTGTGGCGATGGAGACAGCAGGCAATGGAGGCCGTATATGTGGACCCAATGAGTAGACTCTGTACTTGGCAGCAGCATGAGGAGAGCGGTATATAGGGGCCCATGGCAGATTAGGGGCCTGGCAGCAGCTATGGGAGGTCCGTAATATATCTGCCAGCACTCCTATGTCAAAAAATTCAAACACACACCAGCATTGTGTGAGGAGACCTGAAAGTGGCACATGTTTGAGGCATGATTCATGGGGATTTAGTCAGTTTGTGTCAGGAACTGGTTGGTTTGAAATCCAAGACTAATCCACGACCTGATTCATTTTCACAAACGTGAGTATCTCCACACTTTGGGTGGACAGGTCGTGTCCTCCGCGGGAGTTACAATACCTCCTGCCAGCCACTACAACACGCGCTCCGAGATGCCACGCGCTACTGGCCGGGCATGACAGCCTTTCAAGGGCAAATTCAGCTTAGTTGGGGCCAAAGGTCAAGTTTCGTTGTCCAGTAGTCAAGGGGATTGTCCTACCCTCGGTTGGCAGGGTGCTGTCCAAGTAGGCCCAAGCCTGTTGTTTGAGCTCTCTGCTCCAGGTCCACTGATGCTGCTGCTGACTGCTGCGGCTGGTTAGTAGTTTCCTCACTGCGCCCTGGTGAAGAAAGCTACTCATCATCGACTTGCAGACTGAGGCAGCCGCTGCTGGTGGAGCTGCCACTGCTCTTTACCACCCCACCCCTCCCCTGCTGCCCGATGCCAGCGGAACGCGAGCGCACAGGGCCCACATGTGTCTGAGGATAGGACGTTGGCGCACAAAGGCAAGACCAACGACTACATAGTTGGTTTTTATATAGTACGTATTTTGGTCCTCCCTCTCAGCAGTGTGTGAAAAAGGCCACCATTTTGGACCGGTGGTAGCGAGGGTGTCCAACAAGGTGGACAGCCAAAAGTCATCGCCTCTGTCTGATGGTTATTATTCGGCTGTCGCTACGCAAGCATCCGAGCATGCTATGGGCCAATTGTGCCAAGGAATGCGAGGGACTCCCTGCCTCCATCTCCACAGCATACTGCCACGGTATTTGCGTACTGGGTCCTCCTGTCTCCTCCTCCTCCTCCTCTACCAGATGCTCCTGCTCCTCACTCCTGTCCGCTGAGTGGAAAAACCACCCTTTCACTCAATAATTCCTGAGCACAAATGTCCTCCACTACCTCCTCCTCTTCTTTCCTGTCCTGCCCCCACAGGGGGTCCCATGTGGCGTTTGAGATCTGTGCGCCACGTCTACCGCACCCTGACCAGCCATTGTTAACAGCATTTGTGTTCCAGGACGTGCAACAGAGGAATGACGTCGTTCATCCATAGTCACTGCCGACTCACGAATAGCGTGGCCTCCTCAAAGGGCCTGAGCATAGCGGCAGGTGTCACGATATGAGCTGCCAATGGCTGACATCTAAGTTACACAGGGGAGTACCTTTATCGCTTGTAACACATAAGGAAATCGGTGATGGCCTTTCGCTGCTCTTAAAGGCGGTCTAACATGTGTAGGGTTGAATTCCACCATTGTTGCAACGTCACAGATCAGGCGATGCTGTGGAAATCCGTTCTGCCGCTGCAGCTCAAATGAGGGTGTTCTTTTGCGGTGTAGGAATGGCTGAAATGCATGCACAGTTTACGTGACATTTTTAAGGATGTCTTGGCGAGTGGGAGATGGTGGATTTTAGGAACCGCTTGACAACCAGATTGAACACGTTGGAGCCATGCATGGCGCATGTCCAACCTTCCTTGACGCAGAGCAGACACCATGTTACTTTCGTTGTCGAGTACAACATGGTTCCAGATTTTAAGTTTGCGCGGAGACAGCCATCTGTCGATTTCTTCTGTTCATTACACTCAGCATTCCTCCCCTGTGTGACTACCGTTCGCCAAGGCATAACCAGGTGCAGCACACGCGTGACACCGTTGCGCCCTGCACATGTGATACTGCCGGTCGGGTAATGGGGACTTGGCACGGGGGTGGTGGGCTGAGGGAGGACACGGCGGAAAATGAGGTGGGTGGTAGAGGCGGACATGTTTGCTGGACCAAGGACGTGCAAACGTGGAGGCAAAAGCGTCGTGACCTGACCAAGTTGCTGGTGCGGCTGTGCCGGCCACCACGTTCACCCAGTGGGCCGTAAATGACATGTACTGTCCCTGACCGTAGTTTACAGCTCCACACACGTCGGCGCTGCCGTGCACTTTGGCAGAGACCCGACATGCTCAAAGACTGGCCCAAGCCCACCATCTCTTCTTACATGTGAATGCAGGGCTGGCACTGCCTTTTGGGCAAATACGAAATGACGGCTTGGCACTCTCCACCGTGGCGCGCACAAGCCATCATTTCTCGGAAAGGGTGCTGAGTCACCAGTTGGAAAGGGAGGGACTGCAGCACTCAGCAACTTAGGACAGGAGGACGTTCAGCTTTTGCACCGTCGAGTGCGTGCTCGCAAACTGTTGTCTCTTGGAAACGTAATTCCAAGAAAGACTGTTGACGGAATCCGAGAAGAGGAGTAGCAGGAGAAGGAGCATCTGATACGAGCGCGGAAGATGCCAACGAGCGACAATCCTCCCCTCAGCAGAGGTGTGTTGGAGCCTTGACTGGATTATAGAGGGTGGATTGGACGACGTCGGGTGACGGAGCAAGTAACGGAGCGGGTTGATGGAGCGGGGGCCTGGGGCAGGCAGAACCGCCGTATCTTTATCACGGTTTTCCCAGGCCAAACGAATTGTGACGCTGCATATGCTGACGCAACGCTGTAGTCCCAACATGGGCCCCCTGGCCACGCTTGGCATTTCTGACCACATAGTCGACCATACGGCTACGTTTACTTCCTCGGGCGGCTTGACGAAAAATTGCCACACCACCGAGTAGGAAACTTTGCCCCGCTACTCCTCAATGGCTGACTGCTACTTCCTCCGTGCGCACCGGCACCACTACTGGCCGTGTGGTGGTAGGCTGCAGTGGAGCTGGTGCTCATACTCCATGGCCGTTTGGCTCCACTGACACTGATGCGACCCTGCTGCCTCCTGGGCAACCCACGACTGTTTCGCTCGCTGCCAAGCTGGCACCCTCTTCTCCTGATGATGCGGAAGAAATTGCCTGATGTACGACGAGGCAGCCAAGTGCGATCAACCTCCTCATCATCAGGTACGGTCTCCGCCTCACTACTAGCCCCCTCGGCTGCGTCTGGGTCAGGAGACAGACCTGTCTCTAGACCGGCTACAGAGCCACTCTCCTCGCCAGTACTTATTTCGCCTGGCTGCTGAAAAGGCCGATGTCTCCCCCGTTCCTGACCGCCCTCTGTTAGCTCTTCCTCACGTACAGTGGGGCTGAGCCCACAGCATGCGATACTTCGCTTTGGTGAGGGAACAGCAAAGGACAGGGGCAGGTAGAGGACATGTGATTTCAGTGGGCTTGCTCCCGGGCCATGCCAACTAACGGTTGTGTCTGACGTACCCACCGACCATTGGCTGTAGGTGTCAGAGGTGACCTGGGAAGGAGGAAGACGACTGAGCCAACCAATCAATGACGGCAGGGTTGTCGGTGGAGACACGACCGCTGGATGACACCGGGAGCACTGGCCTCTGGCTGCGAATAGTGCTGCCTCGACCCATTCCTCTGCTGCCACGTCTGCTCGCTCCTAAAAAATTGCCCTCTGCCACTCCTTTGCATGTTGTCTGACATACTCTTTAATTCAACGATTATGTGTCCCTGAGTAACAATTCTCTGGCACTCAGTAACAATTCTGTCTGTCCCTGAGTAAAAATTCTGTGGCCCTAAGTAAAGTTTCTGTGGCCCTGAGTAACAATTCTCTGGCACTCAGTAACAATTCTGTCTGTCCCTGAGTAACAATTCTCTGGCACTCAGTAACAATTCTGTCTGTCCCTGAGTAAAAATTCTGTGGCCCTAAGTAAAGTTTCTGTGGCCCTGAGTAACAATTCTCTGGCACTCCGTAACAATCTGTCTGTCCCTGAGTAACAATTCTCTGGCACTCAGTAACAATTATGTCTGTCCCTGAGTAAAAATTCTGTGGCCCTAAGTAAAGTTTCTGTGGCCCTGAGTAACAATTCTCTGGCACTCCGTAACAATTCTGTCTGTCCCTGAATAACACAATTCTCTGGCACTCAGTAACAATTCTGTCTGTCCCTGAATGTAACAATTTCTCTGGCACTCAGTAACAATTCTGTCTGTCCCTGAGTAAAAATTCTGTGGCCTAAGTAAAGTTTCTGTGGCCCTGAGTAACAATTCTCTGGCACTCAGTAACAATTCTGTCTGTCCCTGAGTAACAATTCTCTGGCACTCAGTAACAATTCTGTGTCTGTCCCTGAGTAAAAAATTCTGTGGCCCTAAGTAAGATTTCTGTGGCCCTGAGTAACAATTCTCTGGCACTCCGTAACAATTCTGTCTGTCCCTGAGTAACAATTCTCTGGCACTCAGTAACAATTCTGTCTGTCCCTGAGTAAAAATTCTGTGGCCCTAATTAAAGTTTCTGTGGCCCTAAGTAACAATTCTCTGGCACTCAGTAACAATTCTGTCTGTCCCTGAGTAAAAATTCTCTGGCACTCCGTAACAATTCTGTCTGTCCTGAGTAACAATTCTCTGGCACTCAGTAACAATTCTGTCTGTCCCTGAGTAACAATTCTCTGGCACTCAGTAACAATTCTGTCTGTCCCTGAGTAAAAATTCTGCGGCCCCTAAGTAAAGTTTCTGTGGCCCTGAGTAACAATTCTCTGGCACTCAGTAACAATTCTGTCTGTCCCTGAGTAAAAATTCTGTGGCCCTAAGTAAAGTTTCTGTGGCCCTGAGTAACAATTCTCTGGCACTCCGTAACAATTCTGTCTGTCCCTGAGTAACAATTCTCTGGCACTCAGTAACAATTCTGTCTGTCCCTGAGTAACAATTCTCTGGCACTCAGTAACAATTCTGTCTGTCCCTGAGTAAAAATTCTGTGGCCCTAAGTAAAGTTTCTGTGGCCCTGAGTAACAATTCTCTGGCACTCCGTAACAATTCTGTCTGTCCCTGAGTAACAATTCTCTGGCACTCAGTAACAATTCTGTCTGT